TCCTTCCTTCCTTCCTTCCTTCCTTCTTTCTTTCTTTCTTTCTTTCTCTCTCTTTCCTTGCTGCTCCCTTTCTTTCTTTCTTCCTTGCTTCCTTCTTTCCTTCCTTCCTTCCTTCCTTCCTTCCTTCCTTCCTTCCTTCCTTCTTTCTTTCTTTCTTTCTTTCTCTCTCTTTCCTTGCTGCTCCCTTTCTTTCTTTCTTCCTTGCTTCCTTCTTTCCTTGCTTCTTACTCCCCTTTTTTTTCTCTCTGTCTCTCATTCTCTTCTTTCTTTTTCTTTTCTTTTCTTTCCCCACCCCAGGGTTGGGGCTTACTGGGACCCCGAAATGAGCTTTTTGACGCCGCCAAGTACCGGATTCTGGCTGAGCAGCTGGGCTGCGCTGAGAAGAAGTGGTTTGCCGAAAGCCACTGGCGGTCCAAATCCGGCCCTTCCCTGGCTGATCTCTCAACCTGCTGGCGACGGATGGAGCCCGAAGAGCCCGTCCAGCCCCTGGAGCACAGCCCTCTCCCCAAACCCCTCCGAAATGAAGAGCTGGAGGAGGGGGAGCTGGAGGAGGGGGAACTGGAGGAAGGGGAGCTGGAAGAAGATGCCATCGACCTCCACAACGGTCTCTCCGTGACGCGGCCAGGCACTCAGACACCACCCAGAGAGCTCAGGTATGACAACGATACCGTCTGTCCGTTCAGTGGGAGTTTTTTTGTCTTTTGTCATCCATGTTACTTGTTGGGTGCGACTTCAGGATTAGTGTTCAGGGCTGGATCCTCTGGCAGCGCCTGTCACAAAACAACAGCCTGCCGTCGACCCCGTTGGGGTTGCCGCGAAATGCATCATCCCAGTAAGAGGTTCTCGTGCACCAGTTGGAAGCTAGAACCTTTCCCGGTGTAGAGGTTTTTGAAGCTTCGGCCTGGTGGGGAGGGGAGGCCCGCACCTTCGCTCGTCCAGCGTCTTCGCTCGTCTGGTGTTTTCGCTCGTCTGGAGTCTTTGCTTGACCGGTGTCTTTGCTCGTCCGGCGTCTTACCTCATACAACGTCTTTGCTCATATGACATCTTCACTCACCCGGCGTCTTTGCTCATACAGCATCATCCGTTTTTCTCATACGGCGAATGTACGCCGCGCCCTCAAAGGACGACAACGCTGGTCGAGTCGGGAATCATCTTGGATTTGAACCCTGAGCCCTTATCTAAAAAATGAAATTCAGCAGCAAGAAAACTCAGGTCATCCATTGAGTTAAGGAAAAAAACCCAAATGTGATTCTCCGTTCTACAGCTAGCCCTCAGCTTACAACGATTCATTTAGTGACCCTTCAAAGTCACCGCATTCCTGAGAAACGAGGGCCGCTTTTCACAGTCACGACACCAGTTAGCATCCATACTGATGATGCAATCAAAATTCAGATGCCAGGCAACTGATTCGGACTTACGCCGGTTGCTGCATCCCGAAATCAGGCAATTCCCCCTTTGCAACTTTCTGACAAGCAATGGGGAAGCCAGATTCACTTTACAACCGGGTTACGACCTTCACCGTTTCAGGAATTCACTTAATGGCTACAAAATACGTTGTAAAACAGGGCAAAAACTAACACCTGCTTTACTAACTTAAATAATTGCAGAAATTCATGTAACCAGAGCGGTAGGAAAAGTTGTAAAAAAAAAACCTCCTTTAACAAATGTCTCAATTAGCAAGAAAAATTTAGGTGCCGTTAGTCGAGGGCTAACTGAAACTTTGTCCATGATTTAGACCAGGGGAATAAAAATCTAAGACAAAAGGATCGGTCAGATTTGGAGACGACACCCAACTGTTGTCTGAAATGCTGACATACCAGAAGATCGGCTCTAGATCCCAGAAGGATCTCAACTGATTTGAACCCGGGGCCCTATCTAAAGCATGCCGGTTGGGAGATTCTGGGAGTTGAAGTCCCTCCCTTTTAAAGCACGCCGGCTAGGGGATTATGCGACTTGGAGTCTTTCCCTCTTAAACCTTGCTGACTGGGGGATTCTGGGAGTTGGAGTCCATCCCTTCTTAAAGCATGCCGGCTGGGGGATTCTGGGAGTCAAAGCCCACCCCTCTGAAAGCTTACAAACTGGGGAATTCTCGGAGTTGAAGTCGACTCCGCTTACACTGTACCACTCCTCCGATCCCTAGAAGCCGACGACCTCCCTGCAAGGTGGCCTAAATTCCCCCCCCCCCCCCCCTTGGGAACATTCTAGAACACCCGGCAACTTCTGCTGGACGATTGTGATGCAACCTGAGCAGGCCTTACCCTGCTTGGAGAGCTCGATGGACTTGATTGGGAGGGGACTGGATCGGTTCATCATCCCCGGCCTCACTCAAATGTGGGTCCCTCGACGAGGGCATGTCGATCCTGCGTTTGTGGGTTGAAGGAAGAACCAAAAAGGGGTTTAAGAGAAGGAACAAGTTGTGGGTTTTGTTTTGGGTGGCACGGGAGAAAAATCCTTGTGTGTGGGCACAGTCTCGTTGGCCTCCAGGCCTCAACCTGCCGACATACAGCCTGTCCTCGTCTTATGACCAAACAGGACGGGTGAGTGCCTTTTACGTCTCTCCTTGCTGTGGTCGTTCAGTGAATCCCTGCAGTTGTTAAGCGGGTTGTGCAGTTGTCGAGCGACTCAGGCTTCCCCCCATCGACTTCACTTGTCAGATGGTCGCAACAGTGGAGATTGCCCTTTCCCTGGGACGTTGCTCGAACCGTCATAAATACGAGTCTGTGCCAAGGCGTTAGGCTTTCGATCATGTGACCACGGGAATGGTGCCACGGCCCTACGTGTGGAAAAAATGATCATGCCGCTTTTTTTCCAGGGTGAAAAATGGTGGTTAGTCGCTTTTTCCAATGTGAAAAACGGTGATAAGTTACTTTTCAGTGTGAAAAATGGTAATAAATCACTTTTTTCCAGGTGAAAAATGGTTAGTCATTTTTTTCAGTGTGAATAATGGTAATAAGTCTCTTCAGTGTGAAAAATTGTGATAAGTCACTTAGTGTGAATAATGGTGACAGCCACTTTCCAAAGAAAAATGGTCGTTACTTTTTTCAGAGTGAAAAATGGTGATCAGTCACTTTTTTCAGTCAGAAACATAAGTCATCTCATTTTTTAGTGTGATGGTGATAAATCACATTTTCCAATGTGAAAAATAGACATTACCTTTTTCAGTGTGAAAAATAGAGATTAGTCACTTTTTCCAATGTGAAAAATGGTGATAAATCACTTTGGATGTCACTTTTTCAGTGAAAAATGGATATGTCACGTTTTCAGCGAATAATTGTGATAAATTGCTTTTTTACTGTGAAAAATCGTGATAAATCACTTCCTTAGTGTGAAAAATTGATTTTTCTGTTGAAAATCATGATAAAACACTAATATGAATAATGACACTTTTCAGTGTGAAAATAATGATAAATCACTTTCTCAGTGTGAATAATGGTGATGTCACTTTTTCCAGTGTGAAAAATGATCCTGTCACATTTCAATGAAAATGAGCTCAACTCTCAACTACTAATGTCTTGTAGGACGTGAGGATTTTAATACAGATAGTCCTTGACTTACAACTATTCATTTAGTGATCATTCACTGGCCCTGAGAAAAGTGACCAGACCATTTTTTCACAGACCTACGACTGTTGCAGCCATCCCTATGATCACATGATCAAAATTCACACCCTTGGCAACTGACTCATAGTTATGACGGGTGCAGTGTCCTCAGGTCCCCATCAATTCCTTTTGCCACCTTCTGGCCAGCCAACTCAATGGGGAATCCAGGTTCGCTTAACGACCGTGTTCCTCACCTAACTGCAGTGATTCACTTAACGGCAGCATGAAAGGTCGTAAAATGGGCAAAAGTCACTCAACACACATTTCACTTAGTAACAGAAATTTGGAGCTGAATTGTGATCGTACATTGAGGACCGGGGTCCTGTTCTAACTTGGAACAGCCCTGAAATCATTGGTCGTTGAAACGAGGACTACCTCTCATGTCAAGCCCTCCAACCCAGTTGAACTGAAGCTAGTCCTCACCTTAATGACCACCGCTGAGCTCCAACTCTCCACGGCTCAGAGCGAAAATCCAGTCCAAAGTCCTTTTTCCCAGTTCCTAGATGGTCGCTATATGAACGGTCGTAAGTCAAGGGCTTCCTGCATGCTCCTGCTATAATAAAACAGGTGACGGCAGCAAACAGGACGCGTGGGGCGCAAACCAAACTCTCTCTCTCACACACACACACCACGTTTTCTTTCCCCACGCAGGGATGCCCTCTCGGTGGAAATGACCGATGACAACACTGCCCTGCGTGCCCTGACTCAGTTTCCCCTGCCGAAAAACCTCCTCGCCCAGGTCATCCAGATCGCCACGTCCTCTTCCACCGTCAAGGTGAGTTGCTAACCCAAACGGGGTTTGTGTGTGTGTGTGTGTGTTGCGTCCACACGGGCATCGTCTGTCGCATGGATTTTGGACCAACCGGAGGCTACAATCCCGCATTGTCATCTTCATAGGAATACATGCAGTTCCGCACCGTCGGCACCAAAACCAAGATCTGCAAACTGACGTTACGCTGGCCCTGCCCGATGACCTTCGCCGCCAAGGGACGTCGCAAAGTAGAAGCAGAGAACAAGGCTGCCGCCCTGGCATGCCAGAAGCTCAAGGTGAGTCACCCGCAGGCCAGATGGAGAACATATTATAGAATATGGCAGAATTACCAAATGGTACAGATTTACAGAATACCACCCTCCCCCCCCAAATATATATATATATATATATATGACCTACCCTGGAAGTAAGTCCTAGCTTGGTTTTTACACATGCATCCAATATAAGACCTATCCCTCAAACAATAAGCCCTAATTAAGATCCCACCCACTCCAGAGTGCACAGGTAAAAATTAAGGTAGGGTGGGGGTGGGTGGAGCTGCCCTACTCCTTACCTTTGGGCAGTTGTACCCAGGCCTCGCACATCCCGACACCTGCCTGGCCGGCCCATTTCTTCTGCAGCTGTCAAGGCTGTCAAGGCTTTCCTGAAGGCCTCTGAAGCTGAGAACAAAGATCAGGATTGATCCAGAGCTCTGTTATCGGCTGCGGAGGCCTTCAGGAAAGACTTGCCGGCCCCAGAAGAAAGATTTCTCACTTGTGCCCAGTGCACACAAGGGAGGGTAGTCAGTGGAGGACATCCCCCGAAAATAAGACCTTGCGCCTTTTTTGATGGCAAAAAATATAAGACAGTCTTATTTTCGGGGAAATGAAATATAGAATGTTGCAGTTACCGAATATTGCAGAATTACAGGATATTATAGAGTTACAGAATATAATAGAATATCGTTGAATTGCAGAATGTTGCAGAATTACAACATGTTACCAAATTACAAACGATTACAAAAAGTTGCAGAATATTAACAAATATCATAGAATATTACAGCAGAATATTGCAGGATTACAGAAGATTACCAAATTACAGACTATTACAGAATTACCAAATATTACCAAATATGAATGACTTACCGAATATTACAGAACATTATAGAATATTACCAAATATTGGAGAATTGCAGAATATTACAGAATTGCAGAACATTACAGGATATTACACGGCTACAGAATATTACCAAACTCCATAATTTTACAGAATTACAAAATATTGCAGAATATTACCGAATTGCAGAAGATTGCAGAATTTTGCAGGATATTATAGCACATTACATAATTGCAGAATTTTGCAGGATATTATAGCACATTACATAATTGCACAATGTTGCAGAATTGCAGAGAATTACCAAATTAATGAATTACCAAATATTACAAAATTGCAGATTATATAATATTACCAAATATTGCAGAATTACAGAGTATTATGGAATTGCAGACTATCATAGAGTATTACGCAACTACAGAATATTACCAAAGTACAGAATTTTACAAATTACAGAATTCCAGAACTTCAGAATATTACCGAATTACTAAATGTGACAGAATTACAGAATATTATAGAACATTGTAGTTACATAGTATTGCAGAATTACAAAATATTATAGGCTGTTACAGAATTGCAGGATTATTAGATATTAACAAATTTCAGAATATTAATGAATTACCAAATATTACAAAATTATATATTATGGAATGTTACAGAATTGAAGAATTTTGCAAAATTACCAAATATTAATGAGTATTAAAGAAACTACCAAATATTATATAATATTAATGAATATTAACAAATTACCAAATATTACAGAATATCATAGAACATTGCTGAATATTGCAGAAATACAGAATACTACTGGAATTTTATAGGATATTACTAATTTGCAGCATATTACAGAAATTACAGGACATTACAGAATTATGGAATAATACATAACATTATAGAATTACTGTACATTACCCTCTCCCCCTTGATTTCTGGGTACTCCCATATTCCAGCCCTCCAGCGTCCTCACGTGTCCCTCCTTCCCTCCCTCCAGAGTCTTGGTTTAGTTGACAAGAATAACAACCCACTGAGCCACGCCATGTACAACATGACCTCCCTACGGGAGCTGGGGGAGAACCAGAGGAAGCCCTGCCACATCAAAGTCCCTGAAGCTACGCTGCGCAAGATTGAGAACTACTTGAACCATGTAAGTTTGGGCTGAGAGTGGAGCGTCCGAGCCAACGGGAAGCAGACGATACAGATAGTCGTTTGGCAACCGCATAGGCACCTGATATTTCTGTCAAGGGTTACCTTTGCAAAGTGAGTGTCGTCCCTTTTTGCGAAAGTTTACCTCTGCTCTTAAGGGGGAACTGCTGCGGTTGTGATGTTAGTCACACGGTCATTAAGTGAATCTGACTTCCCCATTGGCAGAAGAAGGTCACCAAAGGGGATCACACGAGCCCGGATGCTGCGACTGTCATAAATACGAGTCGGTTGCCCAGGGTCTGAATTTTGTTCACATGACCCTGAGGATGCCGCAACGATCATAAATGGGAAAAAAGGTCCTCAGTCACTGTTTTCAGCGCCGTTGTAACTTGGAACAGTCCCTAAATGAATTGTATGTCCAAATGGATGGATGTGGATGGAGAGAGAGATGATAGAAAGATAGAGATAGAAAGAGAGAAAAATAGAAATAGATATGGATGGAGAGAGATGGATGGATTAGAGAGAGAAAAATAGAAATAAATAGAGATAGATACATAACGTAGATAAATAGATGATAGATCAGTGGTTCCCAAAGTGGGCCATACCGCCCCCTGGGGGGGCGATGGGATGACTTAAGGGGCGCTAAGAGGCAAGGGAGTGGCAGAGGAGTGCTGGAGGTGGGCCCCTCGCAGGACGCAATTCAGCTTCCCCCCCCCCCCCCACTTGCCTTGCTTGCTGGTAGCCAAGAGGAAGGTGAACCAGGGCTGACCCGTTGCTGCTTGGGTCCCGCCTGGATTCTCCGCAGCTGCTGGGCCTTGCCTGCTAGGGCGGGTGGGGGTAGGCGACCAGGGAGCACGATGCTTTGCCTGCCGCCCCTTCCCTCTGCTGCCTACCAGCCTGCGCGCTTTGGCTGAATGCAGGCCGCCGCTGTGAGAATGATGCAAGTCAAGCCTCGCAAGAGTGGATCTTCCACCCATGAAGCTTGCATAGCGGCGGCCCACACTCTGCTAAAACACTCGGAGGGGCGGCTGGCAGAGGGGTGATGCAGACGGTGTAAGCCTCGTGCTTCCTGGTTGCCTCCTGCACTCCCCCTCAGCAGCTACGACCCACGAGCCCCAGCAGCTGACGAGAAGTGGGCTGGCGGGGAGCCGAGTAGCGACGGGTGGGCTGGTTCACCTTTCCTGCAGCTCACTTCTCTCGCAGCTCCTGCGGTGGGCAAGGATGCAGCCTCGCTTGAAGTTCCCAGCCCTTTCCCCAAAAGAGAGACCCAAGACCCTTTGTTGGACCCGGAAGCCTTACCTGCCCGCTTTTCCGGGCATCGCGGGACCAGCCATGAACGGACAATAGCGCCAGGTCCCTGGGACTCTGGGAGACTCGTCACGAGCGACGCTGCCGGGTGACTACCTTGTTGGAAGAGTGTGTGTGTGTTTGTATGTGTGCATGGCTGTCAAAACTCCAAAAACAGGTCAAGTTGCTCTAGGGAGGTCAGCCATAAATTAGAACACTTGCTAAGCAACTGGCCATTAAGCAAGGATCGCTTGTATTTGGTTTTCCAGTCACGTGGCCACGCCTACCCAGTCACTTGACCACCAAACCATGCCCACCCGGTCACATGACCACCAAGTCACGCCCAACCAGCAAGCCACCTGGTCACATGACCTCCAAGCCACACCCATAAATTTGGCCACGCCCACAGAACAGGTTAAGAAATTTGAATCCCACCCCTGGGTGGAGGGGCATTGAGGATGAGTTTGTAGCACCAAGGGGATGGTGGACTGAAAAAGTTTGGGAACCACTGTGATAGATAAATATGGATGGATTAGAGAGAGATGATAAAGACAGAAAGAAATAGATGATAGATAGAAATGGATTAGAGAGAGAGAAAGAAAAATAGATGATTGATAGATAGATAGATAGATAGAGAGAGAGAGATGATAGATAGATAGATAGATGATAGATAGATAGATAGATAGATAGATAGATAGATAGATAGATAGATGATAGATAGATAGATAGATAGATAGATAGATAGATAGATAGATAGATAGAGATGGATGGATGGATGGATGGATGGATGATAGAGATGGAGAGAGATGATAGAGACAGAAAGAAATAGATATGGATTAGAGAGATATGGATGGATTAGAGAGATGGAGAGAAATGATAGAAAGAATAATATATGATAGATAGACAGATATGGATGGATTAGAGAGTGAAATGATGAGAGAGATGAGAGAGAAAAGGAATATACGACGGATGGATGGATAGATAGATATGATGGATTAGAAAGCGAGGTGGAGAAATGATAGAGATAGAAATCAATGATAGACAGACAGATAGAGACAGACAGATAAATATGGATGGGTAGATAGATGATAGATGTGTGTGTGTGTGTGTGTGTGTGTGTGTGTGTGTGTGTGTGTATGTACATATACAAGCCACCTGACTGGGGATGTAACGATAGTCATAAGTGTGAAAAAGTCTTCAGTCATTTTTTCCCCAAGCCCATCGTAAGTCCGAACAATCACTAAACGAATGGTCGTAAGTGGAGGATAACTTCTATTCAGGATGGAAGCAACCCCATTCTCTACCAGGCCTATAGCTCATTGGCGCCTGGCTGTTATTGCAAAAGGATGACGAACCCCTTTCCACTCCTCTTCCTTTGCTTCCCTCTCAGTACCCCGTTGACTCCCGGGACTCCCGGCCGCCCCGGCTGACGGATGACATGATGAACCTAAGTAAGGAGAGTGGTGGCGCCCTCAGTGATGCCATCACAGGCAAAACCTACATCCCGCTCTCCGAATCGGAAGAGGTCCGTCTCAGCCAGAACCTCCTGGCTCTTTGGAAGCGGCGGGGGAGCCTGTGGCAGGAGAGCCACCCGCTCCCCGTGGACTCCCACAAGGAAGCCATCCTCTCGGCCGTGGAACAGCACCCGGCGGTGGTGATCGCTGGTGATACGGGCTGCGGGAAAACCACCCGCATCCCCCAGTTGCTGCTGGAACACTTCATCCTGGAGGGCCGCGGCGCCCAGTGCAACGTGGTGATCACCCAGCCCCGGCGCATCAGCGCCATCTCTGTGGCCCAGCGCGTGGCCCAAGAGCTGGGTCCCAGTCTGCGGCGAAATGTTGGCTACCAGGTGCGGCTGGAGAGCAAGCCGCCAGCCCGGGGCGGCGCCTTGCTCTTCTGCACCGTGGGCATCCTGCTGCGGAAACTGCAGGGCAACCCCCGGCTAGAAGGGGTCAGCCACGTCATTGTGGATGAGGTCCACGAGCGGGACGTCAACACCGACTTCCTTCTCATCCTGCTGAAGGGAATTCAGAAGCAGAACCAGCAGTTGCGCCTGGTGCTGATGAGCGCCACGGGAGATAACCAGCGTTTCTCACAGTACTTTGGGGACTGTCCCGTGGTTAAAGTGCCAGGGTTCATGTACCCGGTCAAAGAGTACTACCTGGAGGACATTATGTCCATGGTCGGCCGGCATCGTCACTACGAGATCAAGGTGGGACACTGGAACGAGCGGAGGGGAGGGTTGGGGGATGTTGCACTAGCTCTCGGGTGAAAAGGGGCAAACCGAGAGGTCAGGAACGATGTGGGTGGGTGGGTGGAGGGATGGATACATGGATGGTTAAACAGATAGGGATAGAGAAATAAAGGTGGGACAGGGAGATAAATAGAGATGGACAGACGGATAGGTAGATAATGGATAAATAGGGATAGAGAGAGAGAAATAAAACAGATTGGAGGGATAGAGGTATGGGTAGATTGATAGATAACGGATAAATAGGGATAGAGAGAAATAGACAAATTGGAGAGATGTATTGATAAGTAGGTAATGAATAAATAGGAATAGAGAGATAAAAGACTGATAGATTGATGGTTGAATAGGTAGATAGGTAGATAACGGATAAATAGATAGGGATAGAGAGATAGAATTTAAAATAGATTGGATGGATAGGTAGATAGAATTAGAATTCTTTTATTGGCCAAGTGTGATTGGACACAAAAGGAATTTGTCTTGGTGCAAATGCTCTCTCAGTGTACCTAAAAGAAAAGATACATTCGTCAAGTATAAGGTACAACACTTAATGATAGTCATAGGGTACAATAAGCAATCAAATCATACTAGGAAACAGTATAAATCGTAAGGATACAAGCGACAAAGTTATAGTCATATAGTCACAAGTGGTGGGGGTGATAAAGAGTGATGAGAAGATTAATAATAGTAGTGCAGATAATAGATAAATAGGGGTATAGAGAGAGAGAAATAACTCGGGAAGATAAATAAAGATGGATCGATCGATAAGTAATGGATAAATAGGGATAGAGAGAAATAAAAACGGAGATAAATTGATGGATTGATAGATAATGGATAAATAGGGATAGAGAGATAGAAATAAAGACAGATAAATAGAGATCGATGGATGGATGGATAGAATGGATAAATAAGGCTAGAGAGAAGACAAATAGATATCGATGGATGAATAGATAGATAGGTAGATAATAGATAAATAGGGATAGAGAAGGAAAGACAAATAGATTGGATGGTTGCAGGCATGCATGGGTAGGTAGATAAGGATAGAGAGATAGAAATAAAGACAGAAATAGATATGGATGGATAGATGGGTAGATAACTGGTAAATCGGGATAGAGAGATAAAAAAGATGGACAGATAAACAGATATGGAGGGACGGGTACATAATGGAGAAATAGAGATAGATGGGGATAAAAGATGGATGGATGGATAATGGATTAGTAGATAGGGATAGATAGAAATAAGGATGGATGAATAGATAGATAGAGGTAAAAATAGGAAGATAGAGGTGGGTGGCTACATATGTCTTGCTTAATGACAGAAGTGTTAGGCTCCATTTTCATCATAAGTTGAAAACTGCCTGTCTCGTCTCTTTTTCACTCCCCCGCACTCATACCCCCACCCCACCCCCAGCAATCGGACGACGAATGCATCGTGGACCTGGAGCTGATCGCTGACCTCGTCCTTCAGATCGACGCCCACGGCGAACCAGGTGCGTTCATTCTCTCCATTCCCCCATTGCTCTACCCATGGTGTGGGGTTGCTGGAGAAGGGGGAGCCTGGTTTTTTTCGGGGGACAATTTACAGGGGTGGCTTGGCTTTGGGTTGGGGAGAAGCAAGGACGGTTGATTCCCTTTTAGCACGACCGGCGAATCCCGTGGCTTTATCTTGGGGCGGGCCGTTTCATTTTCCCCCGGTGGGGGACTGTCACAGGAGAAACAGGGATTGCGTTGGAAGAGCAGACAGATGGAGCTGGGTAGGGGTATGGACATCCACCATAATAACGATGATAATGGCAATAGTAATAATAATTTAAAAAATTAAAATAGCAATAAATAATACTAAAAATATACTACTACTACTGCTACTAATAATAATAATATAATGGCAGCTACCTGTATCAACCATCAGTACCAGTCAACAATATTTGTGATACATTTTTAAATGTTCAGTAGACTGAATTTCATGTTTAATGAATAAAAGTTTAAAATACTAATAACAATGATGATAACGATTATAATAATTATAAAATATGTTTATATTTTATATAATATACCCTGTTTCTCCAACAATACGGCCTCCCCCAAGAGGAAGTCCCAGCATGTTTTATAGGCATGAAATGAAATTAAGCCCCTCCCCCCAAATTAAGGCCTATATTAAAACATGCGAAATGGGGGGGGGAATGGTGGGGGGGCTTGCCCTTAGGAAGTGCTTTTGTTGCACACCCAGATATGGTGCTGCCTTCATTGACCCCGATACGAAGTGCCCCACTAAAGCCGAGGTCAACATCCAAGCCGTCGCCGCCTGCCCAAAGATGCAAGGGGGGGGAATTAAGTCACCCCCGAAAAGACGGCCTAGCCATTTTTTCAGGGCTCAAAAAAAAATAAGACCCGGCCTTATTATATGAGAAACATGGTATATATATATATATATGTATATTACACACACACACACACACAGAGTATATATGTGTAAAATTTAAAAGAAGTATTATAAAATATGGGTAGGAACCTGTAATAAGATTGATAACATTTGTGATATATTTTTAAATGTTCAGTTGACTGAATTTCATGTTTAATGAACAAAAGTTTATAAACCTAACAATGATGATGATAATGATAATTATAAAATATTTTTATATTTTACATATATATAACATATAAAAATATGAATATAAAAAATGTATTATAAAATATGGGTAGCAACCTGTATCAACCATCAGCTCCAGTCAGTGTTATTTGTGGTACATTTTTAAATGTTCAGTTGATCGAGTTTCATGTTTAGTGAATAATAATAATAATAATAATAATAATAATAATAATAATAATAATAATAATAATAATAATAATAACAACAACAACAATAACAATAATTAATAATAGCAGCAATAAAGGAGATTATTTGTAGATTGGGGTTGAGAGGAGGGACCTTCGCTGCTCTCCAAGTTCAGTTATTGTCTGGCAGACGTTTCATGGCCTGACTAGATAACATCATCAGGGCCAGAAGAGTATGGGGTTTGTATAGAAGAGGAGGTAGAGAAATGGAGGAAAATGAGGAGGAGGAAGGGCTGTGGGGTCCTTAGTGCTTTCTGAGCTGGGTGGCTTCTTTGCAGATGTCTCATGACCTAACTAGGGAACATCATCAGGGGGAAAGGAAGTGGGGATTGTGTAGAAGAGGTGGAGGAGGAGGAGGAGGACAATGAGTGTGGATTTTTTGGTGCCCTCTGATCTTGGTGGTTTCCTTGCAGACTTCTTTTTCTGGTGGCAAGGAGTTCCACTGGTTAATTCTTCTCACAGATAAGAAATCTATTTAGTTCTATGACAGGGGTCGGCAACCTTAAATACTCAAAGAGCCTAATTGGAACCTCCCCCCGTTCAATTCTGGAGCTGACCAGACTCTATGGCGGTTCCCCCACCATAGAGTCTCCTCCTAGCACGGCGTCCTTTTTTCTCTACCTCTTCTAACCAAACGCCCTATCAATTGTGGAGCCAAACAGCAACAGGGAGCCGCAGCTGAGGGAGGAAAGAGCCACATGCGGCTCTAGAGCCGCAGGTTGCCTACCCCTGCCCTAATCCTTCTCTTTTCATGAAGCTGGACGTACCGTGTCCTCTCTTTTGCAGGTGGCATCCTCTGCTTCCTTCCGGGCTGGCAGGAGATTAAAGGGGTCCAGCAACGTCTTTTGGAAATCCTGGGGTCCCACAACAGCCGCTACCTTATCTTACCAGGTGAGAAAAAGAGGCTCGTCCTGCCCTTCCGTTGCTCCCCCGGGGTGGGCACAGCTATGTCTTGAGTGTGCTATTACCACAGGTGGGATTCAATTTTTTTAACAACTGGTTCTGTGGGCGTAGCCAAGTGGCCATGGCTTCTTCTTCTTCTTCTTTTTTTTTTGCAGCAAACCTACCCCCCCCCCCCCCTTTTTTTTTTTTGCCTCAGGGAAGCCTCCTGGGGGGGGGCGTTTTGCTTTGCCTCCCCCCTGCGCTCCATTTTTTTTGTTTCCTAGGCCTCAGAAAAACCTCCTGGGCGAAGCAGGAAGACAGCGAGGGGGATCCCGGCACAGCTGATCGTCGGGAGGGGGAAAAAAAGAAATACCCTAAGGACTGACTGGGCGGGGGAGAACGCAGTCGGCCATGTTGGTCACGTGTGATAAGGACTGACTGGGCTGGGGAGGGGAGGGGCCAGACAGTGACGTGATTTGCTGGTTCTCCGAACTGTGCCGAATCGTAACAACCGGTTTTATGGAACCAGTCCGAACCGATCGCATCCCACCCCTAACTCTCACTATAGAAGAGACAGTTTGTCTGGGAAAACGAGAACCGGTGATGGATGGTTGTAAGGCAGGGGGAGGATTTGACCGTTTTGGACCAGTTCGGGCCAAACCCATTGTTCCGAAACATCATCTGGCAACGAACCGGTTCAGTGCAACTATCATGTGGACCTGCTTGCCCGCCCCTGCGCTTTACCTACCAGTATCGACTCAGTTGATTAGTGCGTCAAGTGCTGCGCACACAGGCACGTGCCAATTGCACACAAAGCCCACACGTGCATGCCAATCGTGTGATCACCTAACCAGGTGTTAAACCCGGAGAATTCCACCCCTGGATGGCTGTAAATCATCATCTTCCTCTCCCCCCCCCCCCGACCCTCTTTTGTTTTTGTTTTTTTTAGTTCATTCCAATATCCCAATGATGGACCAGCAGAGCATCTTCCCCCGGCCTCCCCCCGGCGTGCGAAAAATCGTCCTGGCCACCAACATTGCCGAGACCTCCATCACCATCAACGACATCGTGCATGTGGTGGACAGCGGGACCCACAAGGAGGAGCGCTACGATCTGAAGACCAAGGTTGGCTATGTGGACTGGGTGGGGGGGGGGGGGGCTATCCTTCCCCCTTCTCCGGGGATTAAATCAGTAGGCGCTGGGAGACACGCTCACACTGAGTTGGTCACGTCCACCCTGCCCCCCACCAGAGGTCAAACACAACCCTGGTGCGGCCCTCAATGAAACAAAACCTGATGCTGTGCCGCCCGGACAGCTGAAAAGCGCAGCGTATGGGTGCGCAGCCTTTGAAAAGCCTCTTTTTTCCTGCTTTTTCAACCTCAATTGTGCCGCGCAAAGCAGCTGAGGTTAAAAAACCAGGAAATAAAGGTCAGGTCAGAGCCCGGGCAGGCGGGTGGGCCAAAACAGCAGCAGACCCAGAATCAGTTCGGTGTCTGCTGCTCTTCAGAGCTACTGGCTCTATAGAACCAGGCAGAACCGGTAGCACCCCTGGGGTTAGGTTTAGGCTTATATATTAGGGTTAGGTTTAAGGTTAGGCTTAGAGCTAGGTTAGGGTTAGGGGTTAGAGTTAGGGCTACTTAAGGTTACACTTAGTGTTAAGGTTAGGTTTGAGGCTAGGGTTAGGGTAATGCATTAGGGTTAAGGGTTAAGGGTTAGGGTTAAGGTTGGGGGTAGGCTAGGCTTAGTGTTAGGTTATACATTAGAGTTAGGGTTTGGTTTAAAGTTAGGGTTAGAGCTAGGTTAGGGTTAGAATTATGCATAAGGGATACCGTTAGGCTTACGGTTAGAGTTAGTTACGTATTAGGGCTTGTTTTAGGGTTAGGGTTAGGTTACACATTAGGGTTAGCTTTAAAGTTAGGGTTAGAACTGGGTTAGGGTTAGACTTATGCATTAGGACCAGGGCTAGGTTTATTACTAGGGTTAGGATTAGGGTTCCTTTAAAAAAAAAAAACAACTTTGGAGCACCCACAGCTTCTTGTGGCAAGAAGTTCCACTAGTTAATTGCCCTTGCCGTCTGGAAATTTCTCCTTCATTCCCCGCTTGTTTTCTCCCTCTCTCTCTTTCCCTCCGTCTTCCCCACTTTCCCAGGTTTCGTGCTTGGAGACCGTCTGGGTATCGAAATCGAACGTCATCCAGCGCCGAGGACGAGCCGGGCGCTGCCAGTCGGGCTTCGCCTACCACCTCTTCCCACGCAGCCGCCTGGACCGCATGCCCACCTACCAAGTGCCAGAAATCCTGCGCACGCCGCTGGAGAATCTGGTGGTCCAAACCAAGATCCACCAGCCGGAGAAAACGGTGATACTCAGGGCCAATCCTTGTCTGTTTCGTTGCCCCCCCCCCCCCCTCCCCCCCCCCCCCCCCGATCGTTCTCCAGTGGTGGGATTCGACCAGTTTGCAACAGTTTGGGTGAACCGGTAGTGCCGCTTGAGCAGTTGGCCCTGCCTTTTCCTATCCTAGATTTTCCCAGTTTTGTAGCTTAGATGATTCGTGCGGCACAGCCGATTGACGCGCCTCGGCTGCTTTGGAATGCAGCGTGTATGCCTGCATGAAGTGCGCGCTCCCCGGTCCAGTGGTTAAACCGGTTGCATCCCACCACTGTCGTCGTCGCAAACAAACCAAGGTCTTTGAACGTGGGAAAGGTGCGGGAAGGGTGTTCCCAGGGGGTGGTTTTCTGATGTTTTAGACTCGCTTAAGGACTAGAAGGTCGAGCCCCTTGCCCAAACAAGAGAGACCCTTGCAGAATCACAGGGTTGGAAGGGACCTTGGAGGTCATCGAGTCCAACCCCCTACTCTAGCAGGAGACTCATGAAAAATGAGAGTTGGAAGGGACCTCGGAGGTCATCTAGTCCAAACCCCTGCTCAAGCCAGGAGACCCTTAGAAAATTACAGAATAACATAGAAGGGAGTTTGGAGGTCATCTAGTCCAACCCCCTGCTCAAGCAGGAGATCCCCCCCCCTAAAGAATCGCAAAGTTGGAAGGGGGACCCTAGAGGTCACCTAGTCAAGCCCCCTGCTTGAGCAGGAGAGCTTTACAGAATGACAGAATCAAGGAGTCGGAGGTCATCTAGCCCGACCCCCTGTTCACGCAGCAGACCCTTAGGGAATGATAGAATCACACAGTTAGAGGGGGGACCTCAGAGGTCATCTAGTCTGATCCCCCTGCTCAAGCTGGAGAAACTCCAAGAATAACAGTTGGAAGGGACCTTGGAAGTCTACTAGTCAATAAACCTTTACAGAATGACAAAATCAAGAGTTGGAGGGCACCTC